TTTGATTCTTTGCTAAATCATTGCTAATAAGAAGGATGAGAGTATACAAAAAAGTAATATCTTTGCAAAATATGGAAAAACTTCTTGTTCTCTCAACCATATTTTCACAAATCATGCATTCACATCACTTGCATACATATTCTTTAAAAAAAAAAAAGTTTTCATATCATGGTTAGATTATGAAATTTTAAGTATCATGCATTGTGCATTCATAATCACATTTCATTCTCAAAACAAAAATTAGTATCATGCATACATGTTGCATTCTAGMTTTCAATAAGCATATACATGATGGCATCATGCATTGAAGATCAAATCATTGGTTAAGCTAAATAAAAAACAGATCATATGATGTCACACCTTTTCAAGTGATAAAAATAAATGTAAAATAAAATGGAGCATTATTCATGACATTGGGGCAATACACAGTTGTAGATACACCCATCCATCATAAGATAGTCRCATTAGAGGTCGCGCAACAGCTTCCCAGGGAGAGTTAGAGCTAGTTGATAGGTCACACTCAATTGTCAGCGACAGGGTACCCAATCTTCATTAGCTACTTCTGGCAGGAGCTCTTTATACAAAGGGATGCAATTTAATATAAGTACAGTTTTCCACCGCATCCATTCCTATCTCATACTTTATGATCTTTAGGCATTCTAGTCATTGACTCCTCACGTCGCTACGAGCGTTTCTAGGACGGACCAGCGCCTCACCTGCACAGGTGCTTACGTAGTGTAGTATTGGTTTGTTAGGATGAATTGGATTGTCTAACCTCTCACTTCGAAGTCAGAATTTCGCTACGATAAGTACTCCATATTGCCATTGGAAGTTCGCATTAGCATGAACACGTGGTGTTAGTCTTATTGTCATGTGTCAAGTGCATATCTCATGCACTTAGCAAGTTTAAAAGAAACTTTAAACCCTACACTTAGGTGGCATATCCTTATTAGAAGAGAAAAGTTTTACCACCTCGGTACTTCCACTGTCTACCGAGCCAACGCYTGTTATGGCCGAGCCAACAAAGATCTCCTTTGGTCTCGTTCCCATTATTTGTTTGAACTCACCTAGATGTGTCTCGCTTAGCCTCATATTCCGACAAACTCCACGATAGCATGTCGTGATTCACGCTTACCTTAAAGAGCCGTCAGAGACCTTGTCGAGAATTCTATCGGAGACCTTGTCGATATATAGAAACCTCTATCCCAAGTACGCAAACGTTGTATTTTCTCTCAAATACAGCTCGGATTCTTTTTTACTTGAGCGTCGGAGTATATTCTTTTGCAGGTCTCTTGCTCAACACATTTCATCTCATCCTTAAGGTCATAATTCCGTCCAAGCCGAGCTTGTAAGCTTGGTAATCTTTTGTGATCAAATATTTATCTTCGGTTAAATCGAACCCGATCCAAGTCGAGGTCGAAGCCTGTTGTTAAAGCCAGGTCCGTTACATTTTACCTTTCGGTTAAATCGAACCCGATCCAAGTCGAGGTCGAAGCCTGTTGTTAAAGCCAGGTCCGTTGCATTTTATCATTCGGTTAAATTGAACCCGATCCAAGTCGAGGTCGAAGCCTGTTGTTAAAGCCAGGTCCGTCGCATTTTATTATTCGGTTAAATCGAACCCGATCCAAGTCGAGGGCGAAGCCTGTTGTTAAGCCAGGTGTTGGGTTTTATGTCCTAAAACTCATAGTTTGAAAATGACAGATATACTTTTATCATTCAATAGAGTTGTTATTGAAGGTTTTAATCAATAAGTAGTTATTGATCCAATAAAATGTTCTTACTATATCTAAATCCAATAAAATAAAGGATCCTAGATTGTT